AATATCTATTAAAAATATTGATTATTTTGAAGTTGAAACTCAAAAGTCTAATATTACTTTTTTAATTGATACTAAAAATTATGGAATATTAAAAAGTCATATATGGTTTTGTTTTAAACGTAGAATTAATACTACATATTATATTCGAACAGGTAATATTAAAGGAAAAAAAAGTTATTTTCATCGATTTATTTATCCAAAATGGAAAATAATAGATCATATTAATAGAAATGGTTGTGATAATCGTAAATATAATTTACGAGAAACAACTTCATATTTAAATTCGTTAAATTGTAATTTATCTAAAAATAATACATTAGGTATCAATAGAATTACATTTGATAAAAGAAAAAATGCTTGGAGATTTGATTGGACTATAAATAATAAACGTAAAACAAAATGGTTTTATATTACAAGAAAAAGATCTAGTGAACAAGCTAAACAGTTAGCTTTAGATTTTAAACTAGTACATGATAAAAAAACTGGCAATCGAAATGGCTATATTATTTAAGCTTCTATTCAGTTTATGACCGAATAGATTTTTCTTTATGTAAATTAAAATGACTACTATTAAAAAAAAAGAAGTAAGTTGGATGTTCCATTTTACTTTGTATTTGTGAATTCGAATTACGCTGCCATAACAAAATAGGAGTATATTCTGAATGCATTATGCTGAGGGTATATTTTATTATTTTGTGAGAAACTGACTCGTAGATTAGAGTTATATCTCTGAGACGGACGAGCTGCAAACACTGGTAAAGAGAATTCTCATACTTATAATTATTTTTTTTATTTCAGATAACAAATTATCAATCTGGTCATGATTTCGAACTAATTACTCGAAAAATAGCAGAGGCTTGTGGATTATTAGTTTATCAAATTAAAGTGACGCAAGGAGATAATGGAATTGATTTTATTGTAACTTATAAGGAAAAACTTATTCTTATACAATGTAAAAATATTGAGACATCTATTTCTGTTCAAACTGTTCAAAGTTTTGAATCAGCTATTTCAAGATTTTCATCAGATTCTCTTGGAATTATTGTTTGTAATAGTAAAAAGTTAATAGAAAAAAAAAAATATGCAACTATTAAAACAAAACTTTGGGCACAATCATTTAAAAGAAATATTAAAATTTGTAATGAAGACGAGTTTGTAAAAATTATTAAAGATTTTTATGAATCAGATGATGATAATTATATAGAATTAGTTGATTACAAAGCTGACAGTTTTAATATTAATAGTTTATTGGGAGAAAATGTTTCTATTAGTAAGATTGTTATTAAAAGAAATAAAATAGATAAATTTTCACCCTTTTAATATCTGTTTAGTTTAATACCGAACAGATTTTTATTTACATAAAATGAATTTCTTTACTGAAATTATTTTAATGATAATAAAATCATTATGTGATGATTTTATTTTCCCTCAAACAGTAGATTATATATTTCAGGATCAAAAAATAACAAAGTTTTATCAGAAAAATCTTATTGATAATTTACGTTTAATATCGAAATTTTATAAAATTGAATTTGAAAAATATTTTTTCAAAGAACTTTGTTATTATTATACCTTTAAATTTGAAACAGATCGAAATATTTTAAATAATAATTTAATGATTCAGGTTACCATCGATTTTAAAATATATCGATTTTTTTACAAAAATTTATATGGTATTATGATGAATGATACTAAGAGTAATGATAATGATATTTTATTGAAAGAAAATTTACATTTCTGGGAATGTTTACTTTTGAATTTTTTAATTATAGATAATTTAAGATTTGAATCACATATATATTCGAATTTAACTATTGAGATTGATGTTTTGGAATTTTTAAAAAAATTAAAATGTTTTAATTTGTTTTGTATTTTAAAACAAATTGAATTATTATATACTGAATTTAAATATTCAAAAGAACAATATTATGAAAATTATGAAATGTTTAAAGAAAAAATGATAAATACATATAGAAATATATTTATAAATAGTTGGTTCACAAAAATATATGAAGAATATTAATCTATTCAGTTTTTAAACTGAATGGATTTTTATTTATGTAATCTTTAAAATGTCCAAAACATTCACTATTAAATTAGTTAATGATTTAGATTCATTGTATCAATCTAAAGATAATAGTAGTTATGATACTATTATTACAGTTGATATAGGATCAAATAAGCAACAGATTTTTGCACATTCAAATATTTTACGTGCTAGATCAACTTATTTTCAAAATGCTTTATCTAAAAATTGGGCTAAAAAAGAAAACCAATTTTTTGTCTTATCACAACCTTATATTAGTGCATTAATATTCAATATTATTCTTAAATATCTTTATTGTGGAATGATCGAATTGAATGATCTAGATATTGATACAATTTTGAAACTCTTAGTTGCTGTCGATGAGTTGTCAATTGAAGAACTTATCGATTTCATACAAGATTGTTTAATTAGTAGTGATTTTTTAGAAACACATTCATACAAAATATTGAATTTTATCGATACTAAGTCAATGTTTACAAAACTTAAAAAAAGTATATTCAAAACTATTTGTAAAAAACCAAAAGTTTTATTTGATCATGATGAATTTATTAATTTGAAGAAAGATCTTTTAAAATTAGTTATTCAACATGATGACCTTGATATGAAAGAGAATGAAATTTGGAAATATTTAATCAAGTGGAGTAAAAATCATTCAGAAGAAAGTTTACTTGAATTAATCAATTATATTAGATTTTATCAGTTTATTCCTAATGAATTTATGAATGAAGTATGGAATCATAAAAATCTATTATCTGAAGATTTACTTAAAGATATAGTACATTATTTTATAGATTTAAAGCAAGAACCAAAATATGATACATCATTTATTATATGGGGAAATTTTACAATCAAATCAGATTTGATTAAACGAGAGATTGCTTTAATCTTAACAAAATTAATAGATAAAACAAAAGATGATGCATCAAAAGGATTTAAATATAAATTCACTTCATTATATAATAGTTATTCTGATGGATGGACACCTCAATCATTTCATTCTAAATGCAATAATCAAGGTCCAACTATTGTAATAACTAAAATTAAAAATACAACTCTTCTTATGGGTGGATATAATCCACTTGATTGGAATGGAAATTCACAATATAAGAAAACAGCAGATAGTTTTCTATTCATAATTGATTATAAAAAAATAAGTAATTGTTTTACAACATACATTAAATTAGATCATATTGATCAAGCAATATATTGTGATAATGATTGTAATCCAACTTTTGGCGAATATGATTTTTTTATTTCACAACAAAAATCTTTAAAATATTTACCAAAATTTTATAATAAGATTGTGAATAATTGTACTTATAGTTTGGATAGTTATGAAGTTTTTCAAATTAGTAAAATAGGAGTTTAATAATATTTTATTTATAATAATTA